AAAAGGAAACCACGCGATCCAGTTAATGCTCGTGACGAGGAATAGCAGCCACATGGACTTGGGCAGCCCCTTGAGAGCTCCCAAAATCTTAAATCCTTTGCTTCCGTTTTGAGCCGCCTCAGCCTTCCTTGCAGCTGCCGAACCGGACTTCTCCCGAACAATGCTGAGCGCTATGATCGTCAGAGTCAGCAGTAGCGTAGCCGAGATTATGAAGCAACTCTTGAGATTCGCGCAGTACACATCGCAAGCCGTGGTCATCGTGAAGGGAAAGATCCTGTACAGCTTGGTGTACGAACCGGCCGCATACCCCAGCACGTTCCCCACCGCCATGAAGAACGAGAAGAGAGCGTTAGCCGTGCTTATCTTGCGCGCGTCCCCATTCGACAAATCCGCCAGCATTGCCCTGCACGGCCCCTGCATTCCAGGGGCCCCACACGAAAAAAAAGAAAATATAAAAAAGAAAGAAAAATGTTAATCATGAATCAATCCATCAATATCGATCAGTCGTTCACCTGCACGGTGTTGTTGGCAACATCAAGAATCCAAAAACCGATCACGAAAATGAGGAGTGCTTTGGGCTTAGGGACGGTTTTCTCGAGCGGGTCACCGAAGCTGTGGCCCATGTCAGCGGCATAACCGATTAGAACAACTGCCACAGCTACAAGGGCTGCGCCGGAAGCAATGAAGGGGACACGCCTCCCGAGCTTGTCACTGAAGTAGCCGACAATGGGCTGGACAAGAAGGCCTGAAATGGGCCCGGTAAGCCAGACTATAGCGGCCCATTGATGGGCCACGCCTAGTAGTTGGGTGTAGGGAGTGAGGAGAGACAGCTGAAGGGCCCACCCGAACTGGAGCCCTGCTGCAATGGATGCAATGAGGACAATGTGCAGTGTTGAACCTGACTCGTTTTGTGACTCGCCGGCTTCCCCCATGGCTGTGATTTAACTGTATGTATAATACGATACACGCAATTAAACCGTGATGAGAGAAAACACTATTAGCAAGAATGTTCTAAGTTGGAAGTTCTACTATGTGCAGTCTTTTTCTACTTTATTTCTTTTTTCCAGTTTGTAACCTGCGACGAAAAACAGGTTACGTACCGGATTAAAAGTTAAGGGGAATGTGCAGTGGAATGATTTGAAAGAAAAGAGATGTGGGATTGAGTTTATATAGTGCAGGGCAATCCTAATTACTAGGATCAAAGCTTCCAAAGATAGTAATTTTGTTTCTCTACAGTTTTACATGTTTTACGGTTATCCAGCAAAAGTTCTACGGCAACGCGATATTCTGCATCAAAATTTACTAAATTAAGGCTAGCTAGAGAGAATCATAACATCCTAGCAATCCAAGGACACTAATTGGTGTTATTAGTGATCATCATATGTGAATAATCATAAACTGGATACATGTATTGTTCTTTAATTTTCATATCTGTGTGAATGATATAGTATCAGCTGAATCCAATTATAACATACTAGCAATGAAGCATGCATTTCACATTTGATATCTAAACGTATACTTGAATGAAAAGTATGTAAGTATTAATAAGTATGCATGAAGCATGCATGAAGCATTTTATATATTTTTTTTATCATTACATCTAATTTATGAAAATAAGAAGTATTAAGTGTTAAGATTGAGCTTGCACGCATACCTCAAATTTCAAGTTTTATATGTTATCATCGACCAAAATTAAGTAAAAAAGAATAAAAAAATTCAATCTCATCTATTCCATGACCGGAAGAGGGGAGGATACACCTTACACCACGATTTTGAATCAGAAGAGATATTTCAAAAAATGGTAGGGCGGACTGCTAGTTTTCGACTACGAGATGTTGACGAGCGTTTTCGGTCAACAGTTAAAATGAAAAATGTTGAAAGTGCAGGACTTGAAATAAAGGAAAGATATGGCTTAATCACAATTTTATTAGACGATCACGAGGTCGGCCTATCGTACGAGGTCGGCACTTGTGATATACTTACGATTCTTACAAGAGATTTATTACAGTTTTGAGAGAGAAAGTAGAAAGAAGCTAGAGTTAGTTGAGGATTCAACAATCCAAAATAAATGAAGTGAATTGCAATTTATAGTATCCTTAAATGAGGTACTGTTCAGACACTGTTCCCCGGTCTTATCGTACAGTAGATTTGCAGAGCAGTTCGGCGCCTCCCCGACAGTTAATTAATGCGATTTGAGGTTTCTTCAATCATTGTCTGTCAGGCATTTAATGCAAGCATGAGGGGCATTTAATGCTGGTAGGCTTTCTTGACTAGGCTTACTTGTAGAGTGGTAGACTATGACAGCCCGTCTCATCACCGAATGATGACCTTCCAAGTGGCGAGTATTTTAATAACATCGAGATCGGCATCTATCTTCCGACGGGGCGGCTCTGACTTACATGATCGGCACTGTTGTGTACAAATTATTCTTTTTACCGGGTACCGAATCTAAAGATTCGTTCTCCGGGTCGATCTCACGAGGAAGGCTGTTCGGAATTTAGTTCTGATATCGATAACACATAAAAAGAAAACAAACCTAAACACTCTAATCGAATAAGGATGGATGAATAATTATCAGCTAAGAAATAATAAAAAGCAATAACCTACCTAAGAAGATAAACGAAACAATGAAAAAGAAGTTAGGGAGTCGGGGATAATTAATTCAAGTTCTAGCAAAACCGGGCAATCAATTGTTCGGTTCAAGATTGACACTCTCGCTTAGACATCTAGCGGTTCGCTCCCAATAACTCTTTGTAACAAGTGATTGAACATGGACGAACAAGTTCGAGCATACGACACAGGCCAATTATCCCAATCCCAATAACTTTTCGTAACAAGGGACGGGTCATTGACAAGTGCATATTTCAATCTAAAACACGTAGATTAGTCAATTACGACATCGTCTACCTCATGTGAGCCCAAGCCTACAACTTCTCCCCTTTCGGTTCAAAAAGTCGCTAATTTAACTAGAAGAGTGTTAATCGACTAATCACATAGAATCAACAAAACCCTAACTCGACTAATCAACATTTAATTGTTACCAACTGCAAGATCGAAGTGTCACTCTTCGATTATATCAATATATCAAACAAGAATATATCAATCCCTAATCGAAACAACTCACATAAGAAAGAACAATTTCAAGCCTGAGAGATGCACGTTAAACAATAACAATCATTCCCCTATCCCTATCGAGAAGAAGAAGAAGAAGAAGAAGAAGAAGAAGAAGAAGAAGAAGAAGAAGAAGAAGAAGAAGAAGAAGAAGAAGAAGAAGAAGAAGAAGAAGAAGAAGAAGAGAGGAGCGTGGTGTTTTCAGACCTAGGTTTACACCTGGTCGAGAGTTCTCTCGAGTCTCGTACAAGTTCTCATTTATATGGTTCGCAAAACCGAGCAAAAAAGAAGAAGAAGAAGAAGAAGAAGAAGAAGAAGCAAGATGCGAAGAACGGCTATGACCACGAAATATATGGAGTGAGTAGCCCGACGTTGGAGTAAGTTCTCCTTGCCTTAAGGGCAGCCCATAACCGTTAAGGAAAATTAGCTTTGAGCAGCTCGATGACAAAGCAAGATGCGAAGAACTTGGCTTTCCCATAATGAAGGAGCCGATTGAGGATCGTTGCAATCATAGTGATAAAAAGCCGACGCTTGACAAGACATTAATTGCAGAAAAGACAGATGTCCATCGTAGTGATAAAAAGCAATCATCACCATGAGACCCATCTTGCGGCTTAAAGCAATCATCACCATGAGACCCACCTTGCAAAGCCGCATGTCGCCGTCATATCGTATTAAATGGCAACATGCGGACATCGAGAATCGTACCCATGGGATTCCTACTATTAATACTTTTCATTTATTGTAAAAATGGGAGATTTGATTTCTCTCTAGAATAACTCATAAGTTATATATACTAAGAAGCCGAGTTGTTCATTATATAAAATACAGGTCATCTGACCACATTTACTATTTACTAAGAGTATTTTCCTAACCAGTTGTTACATATTTTGTATAACAACAACAACAAAGGAATATATATAAATATTACATATAAAGATTTATTTATTTATTTTATATAACTATAGCTTTTAATACCATTAAAGATTATGTTTCCGTGTCAATACATTTATATAATTTATTATATATGTATTTCCTCTTTTATCAAAATCAGAGGTGAGCCAATTAAGCGGCACATGGTGCACTTGAACCCAAAATCGAAGCTCCTGGAAACAGCTATCCGCACTATGAAGACCTGCCTTCCACTTCTTCAGGATAATGTACTGGTTATCGAATATCCAGTTTGTACCTCCTGCTATCCTGTTCATATCTTCGTTGCTATCAAATATGAATTGAAAAAAGTTCCTGCCCAGCTCTCTGACCTCCATAGTTGCTTTCAATTTCCACATCTGCCCCATAGCCCTTTTAATCCCCATCAAGTTTGCTCTTTTCTACCCAATTACTTTGCCAAATAAGCTCTTATGGCATTCTGTAATACTTGCTTCCACATCCCCATCCTCTATATCGATTATCTCGTTCTCCACTGTTGATAAAGAGAAAGCCCTAAATCGATTCATCACCTCCGCAGTTGGATTAACCTCCTGCTCTTCGGCCATGAACCCTAATACTGGTGAGTTGACCTTTTCCTCTTTAATATTGGGATTTGATGGTATCTTCCTGTGCTAGATCGCTTCGAAATAATAATGAAAATCTCCGATAAGATGAAGAACTCTCCGATGAGAGAAAGACGCTCTCCGATGAGAGAAAGACGCTCTGGATGCGTGCCATAGAAGGACTACAGGGACAAGGATGGACGGGTGGTAATTCATCATCAGGTCCTTCTAATGCAATTGATATGAGGTTAAGCACTGGGGCATCTGCAGAGGACCCTAATGGTAGGGATAAGCAAGATTCTAATGGGGGGATACAACATTCTAATCTTGGCAGGACATCTAGTGCAAAGGCAGATACAAGTTCATCCAAATTGGAGGGAACACCAATAGTTGAATCTAAAGGGAAGGAGATAGTGGTGGTGCAGTCTGATCGACAACATCAACCTATGGAGGTCTTAGCCACAGGGCCTGTTATACCAGTTCAGGATACACAGATCCAACAAGGAATTAGTACAATATCCACAGTTAAGGGGGAATTGCAGAAGGCTAACCAGGATGAAGTTGCCAAGAAAACATGGAAGAGGACTATGAAGAAGGAGAGCAGAGGTACAAGAGAAGATAAAACACTGGCTCAAGTCCTACCAAATAAGAGACAAAGGGAGGTAGACAACCAGGGGAATACTCTGACAATTCTGGATTTTACTCAAGGGGAGAAGAAGATCAAAGTTACTAAAGCACAGGTGGAGAGGGCCAACCTTAAAGAGCCCTCACCTTCTCAATGAGGGCTCTGGTGTGGAACTGTAGAGGTTTGGGTGGACCCTCTACAGTTCCCCAACTCAAGGAGGGACTAAGGCTCCATCACCCAAATTTTACATTTCTATCTGAAGTCAAAAAGTCTGGTAAGTTTTCAGCTCAGTTATGTCGAAGATTGGGCTTTGTAAAAAGATATTTTGTGATTGAACCAAGAGGTACAAATGGAGGGTTGCTGCTGTGTTGGGATTCAAAGATAGAGATCGAACAAATGTATGGCAAGTCTTTTTTCATTGCAGTTAAATTTAAGGAACAAAAGCAAACAGAGTGGAGCTGGGTGGTGTTTGTGTACCTCAGCTATTGCAGGGCTGAAAGGAATATGCAACGGGAATATTTGCAGCAGGAAAGAGTTAAATGGGGGCCGGTGGTTATGCTAGTAGGGGATTGGAATGACTTGTGTAAGCCAGAAGATAAGAGAGGGGGGGTTAACAGACCTAGCTCAAACTATTGGGGGTTTAATGAGTTTATTGCTAATTTAGGGGTTCAGGAGCTATCTTTGAAGGGGTTGCAATTTACAT